AAAAGGCAAAACACTAACCCCACCCCTACAGGAATTCTTTTGTTGGCTGAATTGGACTGGAAATCTACGAGACGGTTTACGGACAAACTCGCCGATTCGTTGCAGCTGGATTACTAGTAAAAAAAACCGACTCTACATCCTTACTCGAAAATCCAACTCGAAATCCTAACTCGAAAATCCAACTCGAAATCCTAACTCGGAAGTTAGTTTGTCTCTTTTATAACGATATTGTAATTTTAAGTAGTGGCGTTCGAGAGAAATGTCTGTCTGTCTATCTCTCTATCTATTTATGGACACCAAGTTGGCCCCTCCAAAAAACTATTCAGGGGCGAAGACGTCATATCCATGTTCGTCAAAGTGCATTCGAGTGTTGTTGAATATTGCGGACTTTCGAGTGTTGAGGCAGCTTGTTGCGGGCTTTCGAGTGTCGAGACAGCTTATTGTGCACTGTAGCGGATAAATTGAGTATTTAACGTTTGAAGTTAGAGTTCGTGGCATTTAAAAACCTTGCAGACATGTCTTCATGAAATGTGTAAGACTTTTTGTTCGAACAAAAAGCTGCAGTTAGGCTGCGTGTTATCCTTTTCTCTTCGACTAAAAACCAACACTACTTTCTGCTGAATAAATCAAAGGAGGAATTGTGTAGTTTCACTTCGCTGGCCTAGATTTCTGTGCGCAAAATATGTCAGTAACAAACCCAAGGAAAGTGTTTACATAAGAAAAGAGTTCAACTCCCACAGGATTGCTATGGTACACCAACATGTCCGTGTGCCGTTTCATAGGAAGTGAAAATGCTGTATAGCTGTTCCCCGTGGGAAAAGCTATATTTCATTGGCTGTAGTTTGATTGCATTGGTTAATTAGTTCCAGTTGCGACAGATAGCTCAGTCTTTATTCGGTCGAATATTGTTTGGATTCAGCGGAAAGGTACTCTGAAGGCAAGATCCATAAAAGTGAGCCTGAACCAAGGAACGGCAATGTAAATACTGTCTACTTTTATTAATCAGGGGGAATATTCGAATCAGACTGGGAACGTTTTAGTACCGGATTGATTTTGCCGTATACACAAAAGTGGACGAATCCGAAACAAAAACTCCCCGGTTTGGTCGTGTCTCCGGAGATTTTGAATCCGGAATTTAGAGTGGAAACTTTGAATCCGAAAACTTTTGAATCCAGAGAGTTTTGTCGTGTAAATGATTTTTTCTCAAATCAGGATATTTTTCCCCCTGCGATATTTTGAGTTTGCGGTAGAACGAAAATGGCGGATTACATGATCCAGTCGTAGTCGAGTACATGCCATTAGAGACAGCGCGTCACCCAAGCCGAATATGAACTGGACACGAAAAATATTTGGCAGAGGAAAACTGGATTCTATACAAGGGACGCCTTTCGTTATTTGAGTTCTATGGCTGTTCCGAGAACGCGGAGTATGGAGTCTAAAAAGAAAAAAAATCAAAAAAGAAATCAAAAAAGAAATTTAAAAAAAATTAAATAAAAGAATTTAAAAGTGAATTAAAAGAATAATTAAATACATAAATAAACTAGAAATAGAAATTTAAGAAATAAAAATAATAATTATTAAAAAATTCACACCGAGGTGGACTGTTCATATCGTATATATTTTATTCAGTCCAKATGGTATATTCAACTCGCGATTTTCATAATTAACAGTTCACTTTTAGGACAAAAAAGGTAAAGAACAGTCCATTTTTGACCATATCTGGAAAATGTGAGAAATTACACCTTTGGTTTCCTTGGAAAGCCGTGTTGCCTCGACACAAACTCAAGCTTTTCTTTCCAAAACTGCCCGTGTGAATTAACCCTGGAACCATTCAACAACTTCTCAACTGCGCGTCCTGAAGTTCTCGCAATTTGATTGACGAAATTCAAACTAAAACCTTGAAAATTTTTTCAGCGCTGAAAAATAGTAAGATAAAAAAAATGTGCATTGACAAATAAAGAAACAAATAAATACACAGGTAAAGCTGCACTTTGAGAAAACAAATTCTAACAAAATATTTTACCAAAAAAGCCATTTTAACTGGCAGCACCACTTGTCTCGCCAATTCCACGTGCAACTGCGGCCATGTATTTTTTTCTGTTGGAATTTAATATCTTCTCCGATCGAAAATTACTGATTTCAATTTGG